AGGCCACCATAACTTTATTATACAAAGCACTTCCACTACTACCAGGACATCTGCCCATCAACTCTGTTCAAACTCAGACTGTTATCACTTTAGTTAGTAATTACTGTGATCAAGGATTAGTTTTTTCAAAATATGACAGAATCCTCATTTCTGCCTTTAAAAACTTCCCCTAGCCTCGATTTTGTTGAATATGCCCATAGTTGACTATGATGTGTATTTCTACTGCTGTCCTCTGCTATTCCCAAATAAATGTCATTATCCTTTGTAGAATCTCTCTGATTTTTTAGACTCACAGGATTATATTGAGACAGTGTACCACAATGGAAAACAAGAATTATTGCATCATTGTATAATGACATTTGGGTGAAAATCTTAATGAAGTTATGTGAATGGAAGCTACACAGTCTAGATAAATGCAGTTTTAGTTTCATTAAGATAAGTTTTAGTCAATTCTTACTGTTGTTTCCAGTACCAGATATAGCTAGCCTAGGGCTTCCTTTACCACACTGTCTGAAAAATTTGCTTTTCTTTTCCTAAGTTTTTCACTTGCATAGCTCAGTTTCAATTTAGAGTCAGCCTTGGAACATGAAAGCAGATTTATTTAGTTTAGATTTTCTAGACACACACAGACATCACCTCAGCCAGACTGTATGTTTTTACAGGCAGATATTGAGACTGTCCACAGCAGAGACTAAATACACGTGAGAAGCATGACTGGATTCCTTACGCAGTACTTACACCTCAAAGTTAGGTGATCTAGTACTTACAGCTGTCACCCATCCCCTACCAAACATGGAGCCCTGGCCAATACTGCTAATTGACAGTGGCAGTTTCCCGGCTGAGCCACTGTAAGTCCATTACATTGCAAGCAGCAATTACCCACTAGTCAGAGTTAGCCCATGTGAAATCTCCTCAGTTTTAAGTCAATTATGTTAAATTTGAGCATGCACAGCTCCCTGCTCATGTGGGCATGCCATGCAGATGACTGAACGAACAGAAGACTGTTGCTAAGAGGACAATGAGCAGAAACAAGGTATGGACGATACTCAATTCATAATGGGGTCATGTCCTGATTACCCATCCTAAAATCAAAAGATCCCAAGTTGAACCATCTTAAATGGAGGGCCATTTGTAGTTGAAATGTGACTCAGTCCTGCTTTAATTTATAGATCCTCCTATAATGAATGGTATAAGTCTTCTTAAACTATTGGTTTCACATACACATACATATGTCATTTCAAATCAGTTCAGAGACTCGAATTAAAACATCTTGGTTTCAGATCTCTGGTTAGACTCCTTTTGTCAAATTGCCCTGTGAAACTAAGGGCTTCACTATACATTGCCCTTTTAAGGAAAATAAATCTGGCAGCAGTTGTCCACTTCATACTGCTATCAAAAACCCTTATCTGGTTACCAATTGTTTATCTCTAACGAGATGAGAGCCAAACTGCTTTGCACAACATTGAGTTCATCACAATAACAGGACCACTTCACTCCCCTCATCCTGTCCCTGCCCATTAGTCCACCCTCCCACCTTTTTTTATATATGGTATGTTCACTTTCTATGGCTTCTATAACAGATTGCCACAGATTTAGTGACTGAAAGCCACAAAATTTATTATCTTGTACTTCTGCAGCTTAGAAGTTCAACATGGGACTTAAAGATGCAGGAATCAACAAGGAAAGAATCTGTTTCCTTGCCTTTATCAGCTTCTAGAGGATCCCCCCATCGTTTGTGGCTCCTTTTCATCTTCAAAGCCACCAATGGCCAGGCGAACCTTTCCCATGTGGCATCACTCTAACACTGACTTCTGCTTCCCTCCTTTACTTGTAAGGACCATTGCAATTCCACTAAGTGTCCCTGGGTGGCCGAGAATAATCCCCCAAACTCAAGGTCCTTAATTATATCTGCAAGGTCTCAAAGTGGATATCTTGGAAGGGCATTTTTTGTTTACCATGATGGTGTTCCTTCTGCCTAGAGATCCACTTATCTCTTCAGAAGACTGCTTCTAAAGACTGCTTCTGAAGAAAGACTGCTTCCTCAGGCAATCCTTAACACCTCATAGAAGGGTCCCCCCAGCTATGAGGCTCTCTCCTCCTCCAACCCAAGGGCCTCATTCCTATGCCTGCTCAGGCCCATGTGCATACACGGACTGCAGCAATTATTTGTATTGTAATTTATTTGTCCTCAAGCATGTATCATTTTGACTAGTGAGTCACGATGTCTTACTCATTTTTGCAGGCAGAGGCTTCATGTCTGTAGGGAAATAAATTAATGCATAAAGACCTCAGGAGGAGGCAGACAAGAGCAATAAATTCATAGGACTTCTGTTTGGAGTATAACTTATCAGCTACTTTTGACAGCTCTCAACTGGGTATTATTACAATCAACCAAACCCCTTAATCTTTTAACTATTTCAGGGAGGTATTACTTGGATTACAAAATACTGCCAAGGTTTTAAGTGTCCTCTTGGGTTTAGACAGAAAGACAAGTTGCACCCCAAGGGCTGGGTTAGATGCCAAGTTATGTGTGATATTATCTGCATGATTTCTGAATTTAAAAACAAAACACTTGTCTAACAAATTCAACTGGCTGGCTGGGAGTTCAAAGAAACTTGGCTACAATATTTATTTGGTGTTTCAATAGCCACAAGTTCTTGCATAAAAATTATTGAAATCTCAAATGAAACAATTTAAATAGTCTCAAGTATTTAAACGTAAGCCTCAATCCAAAGAAGCAGTTAAATAAAATGCGGCCACATAAATGGAGAAATATCTATTTTTAAAATCAATGATTTGCTATGAATGCATAATGTCGCTAACACTAGATAGCACAGAAATCCAAACACAGAATAAAACTAAAACGCATTTGTCTAGCAGTTGAGCTAAAGAAACCAGGAGATGTATGTAAAAAAGATTATCACCTGTGTTATAACTTGAGTACAAATCTACTTTTTTTTCCTCTTTATTAGCAATAATAAAACTCTTCTTCAACCTGGTTTTGTTTTAGGTTAAGGCACTGTGGAGTTTTAAAAGTCAAGGGCAATGTGTAAATAAGCCTTTGGTTCCATTTCAATGACTTTTCCTAGCCCTGAGAAAATACTTAGGAATTTTATATCCAGAAGGAGTGCTACGGATCTGTATTAAACTCCACATTCACAAAGGGTAAACAGAGGCCCAGCTGTTTCCTACAGATCAGAAAGATCCCAGGGTAAGGGAGACTCTACCAGCTAAGAGCATGAGACTTGCTGTACAGGTGAGCCATGCCTCTATGCTGTTTTTCACTGCAGATTTTAAACTGGATGCAGCTTTATACAAAAAGAAAGAACTATTATTCAATGTGTGTGTTGGGTTTCTCAAAATGCTAGATTCTTCTAAAAATGTTTTTAGAAATACATGTATGAGCAATGAGCATCACCAACCAAACCATCTGGCTAAAATGGAGAAATGAAGATCTAGTATGTAAAAATAGTGATCATGTTGTTGCCATTATTTGTTTTTGTATGGGCATTCCACGGTTTTCTTGCTATTAAATCGAGATTATGTATAAGTACAGCACAGAGCCAATCTGGGGAACTCATTGAGGATCTGGAATCAGATTTGGAGTCATTTCAAGCTATTATCAACCAGGGACACATCCATGCATTTCTAAAGTCTATCAGGGTCGATTAAAAATGTGAACAAAGACACACCTGTAATCCCAGCATGCTGGGAGGGCTAGGCAGGAGGATTACATACGTGAGGCCAGCTTGGACAACTCTGGAAAGGGCATCGGCACCCACAAAGTGAACAAGGTTTGTAATAAGCTTAATAAATAAAACAACTGAACCCATTAAGTAGTACTTAGGGAATAGGCTTGAGAACTGAACTTCCATGAGAGGTAAACTAGTTCTCACTAGAACAAGGATTGCATACCTTTCCCGTTTTAGAGCCAATAATCCTAACAGTGGTGGGTTTAGTTAGAAACAAGAGTAGAAACAGCATTTTCAGAAGTAGTATTAGAGTATCTGCAGAACTATACCTAAGTTTCTCCTGAAAAGAAATCTTTTCCCACCCTGCATTTCATCCTGAACATTTTACTATGTTCAGCATAGTAGCAACTGGAAAAAAAAATGTGTTTCATCTAGAAACAAAAGTGAGAAAACTTCAAAAAACACTGCACTTCTGCACTGCTAAGTTTCCAAGTTTTTAATATAAAGCTAAAATAAGGCAACATAAAGGCGGGTATATAGTAACCAAACTTTTAACAAGTGCCTTTAAAAACAACCACAATCGAAACATAATTGTTTTTACAGCGTGGAGATAATGGAGCAGCAAACATTTTTTTTTTTTTTTGCTAGTCTGCTTTATCTATCATTCAATTTGCAAGCTCAAGATTTTTTTAAAGGCAGACAGGCCAATGCCCGATATTAAAATAAATTGGTTCTTCAATGACTTTGTTATCGAAGTCAACGGGACACAATTCCTCATCCCAGGCCCTGGAGTAATTCCATGTCAACTTGCTACGGTGTCAAATGCGACAAACTGAGAGCTCCAGTCGCGAGGCGGCGGCTCTCAGCACCCACTGCTTCCCACACTCCTGCAGCATCAGGACGCGGTGCCCTCCCGGTTCCCGACGCACAGCCCGCGCTCACAATCCTGGGGGCCAAAGCCAGAACACCTTCCGCCCAGTCCTAGGGAAACTGAGGCACGGTGACCCGAGTGATCCAGAGCCCACAGAAGGCCCCTAGGTCGGCGTCCTCTTTTCCCAGGAGACCCGGGAGGCTGCCGGGCAGCGCACAGTGGAGCTCCCATCCCGCCTCGGAGGTTACACGCGTCCCCCGCCCACCCGGACCTGAGCATCCTGCGTCCCCCGGAGCCCGCTGCCCAGACCAGCCGGAGCCTCCCAGCGCCCAGCCTCGGCTGCGGCTTTCCCAGCCCAAGCGCCCGAAAGTTCCGCGGCTCCGCTCGGCCTCCGGTCGGGGGCCGGCTCCCTCCCACCCGCGCCCCAGCGACCTCACCTGACACCGCTGCGCCACTCAGGTGGTCGCCGTGCCCCCCTCGCCATGGCCAGCCCGAGAGCGGCCGCCGCGCCGCGCTCTGCGCCCGACGCCCGGCAGCGCGGGTCCGGGGAGTCTTCTCCTCCTCCTCCTTCTTCTCCGGCGCCTCGCAGCGATGCGGACTGCGCCTCGGGCGACCCGAGTGCGGCGCTTCCCACCTCCAGCCGCGGAGCCGGCCGGCGCTGAGCATGCCCAGTGCGGCCCGCCTCGGCGCACGCTGTAGCCGCCGGGTTTTCGCGGCAGCCGCAGGCGGGGGCGGGGCCGGGGCGATCGGCGGGGTGGGCGGGAGGCAACGGGGAGGAGGGGGCGAGGCCTGCTGCCCTGGAGCCCAGGACCCGCAAGCGCAGCCTCCGCCCCTGACTCAGGGCAGCTGGGTTCCGCGCTGCACGCCAGGCTGTTTCCGCCAAGGGCGCTTATTCCAGACGCTGTGGCGCGTGGGCCGCGTAAGTGGTAACTGCGGGGCCCCGGGCTCTCTGCGGGCTCGCACCGCAACTTTTCTGAGCGTCGTGGCGCTAGTGTCCACGGAATCAGGGAAAACTTCTGAGAGTGGCAGCCTGGACGCCAAGGCGAACCCACCCTGGCTCCAGGGCTGTGTGCAGGGCCACCGGCGGTCGCAGCTTCCCAGGCCTCCCTGGCGACTGCGCGCTTCCCTGCACCGCGCAACCCCAAGTCCACCCCGTCTAAAGAACCGTTCGTCGTTTCTGCAATGAACAATTACGTTGGACTTTAATAGAAAAAAGTAATTATTCTAAAATTATTTTCAAAAACACCCACGAAAGTTTCCGCGGCGTGACCCAGCTGTGTTGATGGTTTTTTTGAAGACTTGGGAGAGCGTGTCAATTTCTGGGACAGCGACCCGGCCCCTCCTCCCCGACCTCCGTGCCCGCCCCTCGGCCACGCCCCGCGCTGGCCCGCTCCCTCCTGCACCGCCCTCTTTGCCCTAGGCTGCTGTGAAAATCCGGAAAGGTGGATTAGGCAAACTAATGTTCCTGGTAGCTCCCGCAGTCGGGCTGGGCACGTTCCGCAGCCAGGTCAGGGTCAGGGATTGGTGTCCAGAAGAGAGGCTTTAAGCGACGCTCAGTCTCCGTCCTTCTCTCGGTCTCCGGCAAGGCAAACAAGACAAATAGTGCCTCCTATCCTACGCCCCCAGCTCACTCCTGCAGAAGTGAGCAGGACCCGACTGAGCATGCTCCGGGCACGGCCAGGCTGCCGCCGGTCGTCCAAGGTTGATGCGGCAGCGCTCAGTAGTCAGGACCTCGAAGCCCAGGAGACCGGAGCGGGGCTCTGAGGGAGCGCAGTGCATGCACACGTGGGCAGGTCACGCGTGCTAGGGGCCAGATGGGTGGGTTCTGCGTGGGGTCTGGCTTCCGAGTGAATCACTCTCTGGTCTTTCGCTAAAAGGTTGATGTTAGAAATCATTTTAACATTAGTTTCTTGGCGTCACATTTTAACGTATAAAACTTTTCGGCTTGTTTTTCCTTTCAAGAAACCTAATATTTCTTTTCAAGTTATTAAATAAGAATTCTTTACAGTTGCCCTAAAGTGCTAAGTTAAATCTATGTCCCCACTCTGAAAGAATTCTGCAGTATTGTAATCTTTTTTTCTTCTCAGGCACTTCTATATTTGCTCAGACGCTATTTCCTTTCCTCCTTGCTGCTCCTCTTTAATCTCAGAATCTGTAGAATCCTCTCATTTACCCTCCCCCCCGCCCTGCCCCAAGTCAGGACCTTACCCTTGCCAGGCAGGCACGGCACCACTGAGCTACATACTCGGCCCATCTCTCATATATTTTAAAAATACTTGCAGTGAGTGTGGAGAACTTCCTTTTAATATTCATTTCCAAAAGAGAAAACTGAAGTCTGAGAAAGGCTATAGGAAAAACATTTTATGGTTTTGAATTAGTAAAATCAAAAACCCACAGAGATGGAGCGAGATAGAGAACAGAGATAGAAAATTACTGAGTCAGGCGGGCAATTGGGTTTAGTTGTGTTTTTGTCTGAGGGATGCAAGATGGAAGCAAGGTTTGGTGTGATGGTGGGGAAGAGCCTTCATTCCAGTCTCTAGGCCTTTATCCGAGAGCCTGAGTTGAGCTTCAGTATGGCTGGAAACGTCTCTTGTGGAAGCTCGCTCTTGGAAGGACATATTTACATCTGTGCTTCACGAACAGTCCTAACTTGTGCTAGGATCACCCCCATCCCACCTCCTTATCCTAGAAACTCCGTTCTTGCTGGTAGGCCCAGGACCCAGCTCCTGAACTTGCCTAGGTCACCATAGACATCTACACCGCACATAGTTTAGCCTGAAAAAAGGTGGTCAAGATGTCTTCAGCAGCCTGTATTGCTGCTGCTCCTGCCTGTCTGGAGCCTTCTGCTCCTGGTCAGCTATGATGTGACCCTACCTTGATTCTCTGACCTCCCTGACTGTTCCTTCTTTTCATCCTCCTTCTCCAGGATCTCTTCCATTACACCAACCCATCACTGGCCTCTTCCCTGTGGTTACTGGTATGCACATCTACTCAGCCACTTTCATCACTAATCTGGATATTTCTGTCTTTCATCTGCCTTTCCTGTCATCCAGCTGACACTGTCTACCTGGCCTCTGGCATGGAATAAATACCTCCCCTCTCCCCAAGTCACCACTTGCATTGCAGTTTTCAATCTGCACCATCCTGTCCTTCAGCCATGGAACAGTGACCTCCTAAGTGGGTCCTGTTGTTCAGCCTCCTCCCATCCATCCTCCCTGTCTCCTCAGACTTTTCCTTTTAAGCAAATTATGTTGCAATATGTCTTCTAAAAATCGTTCAGTGAATTGGCAATGTCTTCAGGATAAAGCCCAAGTTTTAAACATGAAATGGCCCCTGCTTTCCCCTCCAGATTAATCCAACTGGTGTCCTATATCCCAGCCAATCCAAACTACCTGCCGTGTGAGTCCACACTTCATGTACATGTGAGTTCTTTCACCTCTCTTTCCCTCTTGTTCACCTGACCAATGTTAAGCCTTTCAGATCATGTTCAGACAGAATGTCTTTTGGCCTTCCTGGGTGACTGACTTTAATCCTGAATGCTTCGCTTGGACCATGTACTTTGTCTTCATTTTGACACCTGATCTTATTTTCTTTCATCTCCTCCACCACACTTTGGGCAACTTAATAGTAAGGGTTGTGTCTCAACCTTGTCTGTATCTTTGCTCTCGGTATCAGCAAAATTTTATTTAACTAGTGAATGATGGGCATATACCGTATACTATTTAAAGTTTATTAATTTTGGAAGTTGTTCTTGAGGACTGCAAGAACTGTAAATACGTTGAAAAGACAAAATACTAGAACAAAGTCACATCAGATGCAACCTGTTCATTGGTGATGATCCTTTGAATAATGTAGGTGAGATCTCAGGTTTGACCCCCTTAAAGCCAATGAATATGTTCACCTTCAGAATTGAGGAAGTGATTTGTGGGCGAGTCTGATACACCTGTTTTACTGGCCTGTAACTGCATGATGCTCAACATCATATTACTAATGAATCCATACATTCCATTGTTCTCTGTCACTGTGGTTCCTTCTGTAGTGTAGCTATAGCCTTCTAATTATGTGATTATTCCTTAGAATAGATTTTGTTTTTTCTGTTGAAAGCATGTCGCCCCAGAAGGACAGATAAACTATTTAGGAATTACTGTAATTTTTACAGTTCTAGCAGCTCATATTGTCAGATAACACCTAGAGCTAACTGTGGAGAGGCACCACCTGCTTCAGAATCACCTGGGGAATGATGAATTCACCCCAGACTTCCTGGATAGAATGGTCCAGGGGGCAATGGCTTTAATAATCCCTCAAGGTGATTCTGCACAGTGTATTTGAGAAACAGACTCAAGTCATTTGGATAAAAAGGAAAATAATAATTATTGGCCCAAAACTTCCAGTAACCCCTATTTTGGTTTCCTTTGCTAGAGAGATACCTACATATAGATGGAATATCAGTCTGTTGTAAAAAGTATTAGCCATATTTGTATTTATTAAATAGCTTTGGCTTATACTGGAGTCTGGAGGATGTAGAAGAGTAGCCTATTGAAATAGCTGCTTGTTACACTTGTTGCCCCATTCAGCGACTTGATTTGATAACCAGTAGGGACCCAGTGTTACTCTCCAGAATATTTCCCCTAAATTCTACCCCTTCAGTAGACGATAAGTAGGGCAGTGGAAGTTTTGACATTACACCCTTCCCAGAAAGGGTAGTAAGAGGATAGGATCCTGTATTAGGCTTTTTCTTGTTCCTGAGAGTTTGAAAGAGCACACTTAGGAAGGGGTTGGGGGAGGAATGAAAGGAAGTCAGTACTTCTCTCTACAGTCTTGTGACCTGCTGGCTGGGGAGCTCCGAGCCCCTTGAAAAGGCTGAGTCAGTATTAGCAAACTATTTCCTTCCTCATCATGGATTTAGGCTGTGCACTGAGGTTGAGCCTTTGGAAGTATGCATGCACATATGTGGTATAACCAGTTCTCTTGCTGGAAAAATCAAGAGATTTAATGGCTTGACTGTAACTCACAGGGAGCAGAAGACCCAGCCTGACAGGTCACAACCTTCCTGACTTCCTTCCAAGACCACGCGCAAGCCCTTCTCTCCCAGATAGTTTGCTAGCTTGGGACACTGATGGCCTTCTCTCTACTGCCCTACCCCAGCTTCATGGATTTGGGTACATGGATTATTGGTGGGAGAAGGGATGCATTAAGGATGCTTCCTGTGTGTAGGGCTGGGGTTTCCTGAAAGCCTGGTAGATGCTTGCATGGGATGGTTAGAAGAAGACACCTCTTGGTGAGCCAGGTATAAAACAGAGCTCTGAAGACTTTGACTTGGGGATGGCTGAGGTCTTAGAAGGGACTGCTTTGTGAGAATTTGACTTTGCAGGTTCTTTGCCCCTGGGTTCTGGAAAAATTGTATTTTGTATATAGCCTAGAGTTTTGTGCTTCTGGTTCATAGTTTTCTCAGGAATGAGGGGTGGTTAAGCATCCCTCCATTGGATAGAGGAGTTTGGGTGACTCAAGTAACCACACACACACACACCACACCACACCTGAACAAGATAACTTATTCTGCAGGAGTGTGGCGCACTGGGTGAATCCTTGGTCCTCATACCAGACACCAGGGTCATGTGCCCTCCTTCTGAGTGCTGCTCAGGACAGAGGGGCTGTCAAGCCTAGAGGTTCTGGCAGCTTCA